GAAAATGACGGGGCAAAGTCACTCAGTGAGCGTATGTGCTTAAGAATGAAACAGAACTGCAATTTCTCTACTCACAATCTAAAACATTAACTGCTGAACTGCACATAGTCTATTATATTTTTATATTGTAAGCACAATTAAGCAAATATTTAACAGAAAAATAAAGACATATTACAATGTTATAGCGTATGTACCAGGGGTGAAATGCTCCCAGTTCGTCCTGGATCGCTTGATCTGGTAGCGATGGAGGCGGCTGGTTCAGAGAACTGGTAGCAAAAATCCCTCCCCCCCCACATGCCCAGTTGAGCCACACAATCATCAGAGGCTTTTTTTTTACTTTTAAAAGCATTTTTTCTACAACATCTTCGGCCAAAAAATGCTTTTAAAAGTAAAAAAAAAAAAGACTCTGATGATCGCGCGGCTCAGCTTGGATCGTCAGAGGCATTTAAAAGAAAAAAACCCTTTTTTTCTTTTAAATGCCTCTGATGATCCCAGCTGAGTTGCATGATCAGCAGAGGCTTTTTAAAAAAGCCTCTGCAGATCAGGCAAGTCAGCTGGGATCGTCAGTGCCTTTTGAAAGCATTTTTTTACAACCTCTTCGCCGAAGAGGTTGTAGAAAAAATGGTTTTAAAAGTTAAAAAAAAAAATGGCCATGCCCACCCAGTCACATTACCCCCCCAAGCCACGCCCACAGAACCGGTAGTAACAAATTATAGATTTCACCACTAGTATGTACTTACATTTTATATCAATGGAGAAAAGACCTACTCAGTAACAAGATATTTTAATTACATAAACTGATATATGTGATGACCAAATCCACATTTTAAAACAGCTGTTATAGGCATGTGGATGGATGGAGAAGCTTGAACAGCAAAATGCTTTGCAGTAACTGTATTGGTTTAATTAGAAAGTTCATAAATAACAAAATGGTCTTATAGTAAAAAAAAATTACAATTTCCAATATCACAGACTAAAATGTATACTACATTTATGCAGCATTTTCATTGAAATTAATAGTTGTTAATTAATCCTGATTTCATCATGACGTCAGTTGACTACAAAAAGGTCAGTAAATTGTATTGGATCCTGGAAATATGGTACATAGTATTTATTTGAAAGAAGTCTATGGTTTTCCCCGAGTGATTTAACATGAGAAAGTCTAGCATGAAATTTGCAAAGAATGTAGAATGGAGGTAGATAATTTTTTTGCTTGTCTATTATTTCTTTTGGGTATGAATGGCATTTATCCAGATAATTTTTTTTACTGTTGGGGTGTACATATTGTATGTAATCCAAAAACAGAATTCCAGGATACCGTCTGTTGCTGCTGTTGTTCAAAACTGTGAATAACTATTAGGACTCTCTGCAGTAATTATGAACTAATAACTGTTATAATATTACCAGTGATAATCACATATTATAACTGTATAATTAAATAATTAATTTATTATTACTATTATTATTATTAAATAATAAAATATTAATAAGGCAGCTTTACGTGGAACAAAGATACCTTTTTTACCATCAAAAATCTGCACCTGCTTAACCGAGATCCTTCATAAGGATTTGATAGGTAGACAAAATGCCAAATCCAGTCTAAACATCTGACTGACTATGCAATGAAAAATAATGTATTTAGTTATATATTATATAATTAAATAATTGTTAAAATTTAATTGTTATACAAGAAAGGTACATTATTTAGACATTTTAATAATAGGCACTTCATAGCACTTTCTTGACCACTGGGGAAAGTTGGGAGTTCTACTTCCTTTATGAGTCAAACATGAGTGAAGGAGTATTGGAGACCATGGTCATGATTCAGACTATGTAGGCTGCTGTATTTGTCCCACGTTATTTAATGCATTTTGCTGGTGGGAGAGGTCATCCAATAGAACTAGATGGACTTATTTATTTAATTAAAGGATTTACAGGCCTGCCCATTTTAAGACACAACTCTAGGCGACTCACAGCAGTAACAAAACAACAAATCACAAAACCATAAAAAATTAATTCCAATACGTAAAAATTAAAAAAAAAACCTACACATATTCACAAAAAAGAATCCAGATAATTTGAAAATAAATATAAATATTTATTAATATAATTAATAAATATTAACCAGATTTGTAAAATTAAGGAGATATGCAACAGTTTACACATTCATACTATATAAACATTCCATACTATATAAGTATTCCATACCATATATAAACATATGCATATTCATTCCATATATTTCTATGCAAATAAAAAACATTGAAATATCTTCTCAGAAGTGGCTCTAGAGCTCATGGCCACCATGATGGCCATGAACCAATCCCAGGTTATCCAGAACTCAACATGGAACAGTGGTCATATTCTGCATCTGGTGTTCCTTTCGGAGCAGTGGCTGCATGATTTGAAATTGAGGGAGTTTTTGGTATCACTCTTTGTCTCGGTGAGATCACACCCTGATTTCCATGAAATTTTCTAGAGTCGCTATCCACTGTGGGAGACTGGACTCATTAGATTGGTCTACTCCTGACAATTGATTGACTCAGATGGGTTTAAGAGGGAACTAGGGGCTATTCCTGTTAGTCTGCTGCAAGTTCCATCCAAAGCCTTGGTTCCTGCTTGCAACAGGGAATGGCCGAGGAGTTGGATTGGATTGCGCTCATACAACTACTCCTCTGTCAGGGATCCTGTCACTCCCCTGTAGTTGATGGAGGAGCTCAGGGAGATGAAATGAGAGAAGAGACATCTAGACTAGATGTGTTCAACCCACAGCCCATGAGCCGCATTTGGCCCTAGACAACTAGTAATGTGCACCACAAGATGTAATATTTTTTTTAATTGTTGTTTATATACATTGACTATATTATATATTTTAGATATAGCCCAAGACAATTACTATTCACTCAATGTAGCCCAGGCAAACCAAAAGATTGGATACTCATGATCTAGAACAGCACTGGCACTCAACCAAGGACAAGTCAACAACAGCATGGGTTAGAGTCACTATTAGAACTTACCTTGTTGCACTAAAGGTAGGACTTCTCCACCCCTATTGCGTTCACAGTTTGTTGCCCCACACATCTGTTTTGGGTGAGACAAGCTCTCTTGTGCAGGGGCATGGGGAGCAATTTGTTTAGCACCTACTGGATAAAATTGCTCCAATTTGCTTGCAGCTGGACCCTGGCCTTTCTGCCTGTCCAGAGGAAATGTCTGTGGTGGAGTCTTGCCTGGTTATTGGGAATAGTTTGAACCTGTTGGACCTGAGGAAATCCCGAGTGCTTTAAATTATGAACTTAACCATCAGCTTTTTAGATTAATGCCCTCCTGGCTTTGAAAGTGGTGCAGGGTGTATGAGTGGGTTCTAGCAGTGGTTAATTTCTCTTTGAGTGAGGAGGTTGTTCCTTAAGTCTTAAAGAGGCTTTGGTTTGCCCCCTCCTTAGAAGCCATTGCTGGATTTTACTATACGGAACAACTTTTGCCCAGTATCTAATTTCCTCTTTTGGGACAAGGTAAATGAGAAGGTGGTTGTGCAAACAGCTTCAGAGGGCATTGGATAAAGCAGATTATCTGGATTCTTTATAGTTAGGATTCAGACCTGGGTATTGGAAAGAAATGGCATTGGTCATAATTTGTATTGCTCTCAGGCATGGGAAGGATGGAGGTTGTGCATCCATTCTTACTGTATGTGACCTTGGTGGCTTTTGATAGCATTTATCATAATATCCTTCCAAATCAGCTCAGGCAATTGGGGTATATGACATGGTGCTGTGCTAATTTGCCTATTTCTTCAGGATTGCTGATGATACCCAACTATACATCTCTTCCCCTGGTGAATTAACCTTGAACATCCTATACCAGTGCCCAGAGGTTGTCTAGTTGGAAACAACAGGCTTCAGCTAAATCCTAGCAAGATTATGACTTTGGGGTTTGGGGCCCTACTAGTTCTAGGACTTTGCCATCTTTGGTGCTGGAAGGAGTGGCAATTTGGGAGTCCACCTAGGTTCATGACTCCTGCTCAAAGAGAAGGTGGTGGCCATGGCTAGGAGGATTTTTGCACAGCTTTGTGCTATGCGCCAACTGCATCCCTTCCTGGATTGAGAGACTGTTCATGGTTCCTCATGCCCTAGTCACCTCAAAATTGGGACTACTGGATTACATTAGGGTGTAGATGCACTCTACATGGGACTTCCATTAAATCAGAAGTTCCCAACCCCCGGTCTGCTGTGGTGGTGCAGGCAGTTGTGTATACTGCTAGAAGAGCACATATTATACCTCTGCTTCACAAGCTGCATTGATTATTAGTCTGCTTCCAGGTCCAATTCAAGGTACTGGTTTTGACTGTTAAAGTCCTTCATGGCATAGTGCCAGCTAATCTGAGGGACTGCCTCTCCCTGATTGCTTAGGTCTGCCCCATTAGATCTGGGAGGGAAGGCATATTATGGGTTCTTTCAGCCAGGCAACTGCATCTGGAGGTAGGCCTTCTCTGTCATGGTGCCTCTTTATGGAACATTCTCCCCCATGACATTAGGCTTGTTTTTTCTTATGTAATGTTCTTATGTAATTCCTATTGCTTGCAATGGGCTTGTACAAGAGAACTTTCTATAGATTATGTTTTATATTTGGATAATAAAGGTAATACATATTACATATTACATATTATTACATTAATATTTTATTTCCCCACAGTTCATTGCATAATATACCTCTTTCTTTATTTCTCGATCAGCAATCAGAAAACATGTAATTGCTTGAAAGAAAATGGAAAGTTTTGGTAAGGTATAGATTTCTTTTAAGAAACTATGGTACCTGAATTGCTGCACTATACAGTATAAATATTGAATTAGGCAAATCTTCTTACCAGTCTGTCACATAGAATAAAGTTAGCAAATAAGATTTAGTCAGGAGCAAATCTGAAAGAATTAACACTGGATCTAATGCATAAGAAACAGAGAGAATTGCTCTACTGTATCTGCAACCCTTCACAGTAAATAGTCACTTACCTTGCTGGTGATTTTTTTGCCGTCCTTGACTTCTACTGCCAAACCCAGATCAGACAATCGGCAATGACCATTATCATCCAGGAGGACATTTTCTGGCTTCATGTCCCTGTAGACAATTTTGATGGAGTGGAGGTGCAGTATCCCACAAATAATCTGAGCTGAGTAGAACATGACTCTATCCCTTTCCAAGCCTCTTTCACCCATATTGTAAATGTGAAATTTAAGGTCCCCACCATTCATGAGGCTCATGACAAGACATAAAGCGGATTTACTTTGAAAAGCATAGGCCAGTGTGACAATGAAACGACTGTTGACTTTTTCAAGTATCTCCTTTTCAAGAAGAGCCATATTTTCACCCTTTTTTTTCTTCAATCTTTTTTTGTCCAGCTTCTTACAAGCATACATCTTCCCGGTACATTTCACCTGGACAGCACAAACCTACAGCATGTTCCATGCAAAAGGAAAAAGTCCAAGTGAGTCATTTATATTGAGAAGCAGAAAGATGGCAATGACAATTCTGAACTTCTTTAGTGATAACTTGAAAATAAGGTTCCTTGGCTGGAATATGTCCTTCTAGCCTTTCCACCTACTTTAAGTAGTAACACTACATAGATTTTAAACTAATTAAAAGTAACAAATTATATTTTGCATTTTGTCCTACAAGATGTCATAAGTGCTTATATAAGCACAAAGGTGAGGAATAAATTTCATAAACAAATAATAGAATTATTTACTATCTCATGAAAAATAACTATCTCATGAAAAATATATTTCATATAAGCAACTCTGAGCCAATTAAAGGGAAAGCTACATATTACTCCTGAATACATATTACTGCAGAGAAAATATGCAGTGAATAGGACTAAAACAGGGATATATAACAAGAAACCTTGTTTATGCAAACACATAGCTAGTGACCCATGGTCTAATGAATTTATTTAAACACCAAAGCTTATCTATATACACAGCATGTAGACTAAGTAACTGCTCCTTACCTCTCCAAAGCCTCCCTTGCCTAATACTCGGAACTCTTCAAAGAATTTATCATTTATAGATTGCCGCTCATAGCCTTTCCACTGCAAGAATTTCTCATAGAATGGACTGGTCTTGAAGCCCTCAAAGGGTTTTCCCTTAAGAAAGTCTTTTGTCTCTTCTCTGGCCAACTGCAGGAGGTTCTCAAAATCATTTGCGGAGGCTGACTGGCACTTATTGGATAGGTCTGTACTAAGAAATTTCAAGTAAGCGTTGCTAATATTCTTTAAATACATGTTGACCATGCCCTCTAGAAGACTATTCTTGATGCTTTCTTCTGATAACTCCCAAGCACAAATTTCGTCCATGAATTCTTGGGCCAATTGGTATTCAGGCACTGTCGCCACGTAGTCTTTGAAAAATGTCTTGCCAATGGGTTGCTGCTCACAAATGCTCTCATATTCCGGACAAATAGAATTCTTAATATCAACACATTCCTCAACCTTAGGTAGGTTAATGTTCTTGCGCCGCTTTTGCATATCCTTGGTGTCCACATCTCCAGACTTCCTGGCTTGCAAGTATGCTGTGTTGGCAATCAGATTATCAAGTCCCCCCATATCACACATCTTGGCAAGCAATTGGAGTAGCAGAGCTTGCTGAGGTAAAAACACTGGGGAATCTTGCGGTATTTCTCTGGGTTTTGCTTTTTTGTGCCACCACCTGGTTATATGTATAAGCTTCAGAGAATAGGAGGGAGACTGCCGACTCCAGTATTAAATACCTCTGAAGGATTTTCACTAAGTACCTTTGAGGTGTATGTACCATTTGTGGAAAATGGCTAGTAAGAGGTTTCTCTGTAAGGAGCTTTAGGTTTGCTATCTATAGCTAAAGGGATGCCATCCCAGGAAAATCTCCTCACTACTTCCACCACTATCTAGTGTTCATTTCTCAGTTCTGAGTCTACAATTTATGTCTAGAAATGCTAGGTCATTTTATATACTCCCTTTTTTAAATCAGTTCTGATATCAGTATCTTCATTAAATCAAGCAAAACACATGGCACCATAGCACACTCTAAAAACAGTTATGCAAAGGCCCACTATAACTGCAAAAATGTCTTTAAGCCACATAGGATTTTCAGGAATTCACAAAAGTCTAACTGTCTTCAGAGTTTTCAAACAGCAATTGTGGTAAGGAAGAATTATTATTTTTCATGACCACAATTCAGTTTAAACTAAACCTATTTTATGAAGAACTTACCCAAATAAATGTTAATATTATAAACTGTATCTTTATAGTCCACTAAAAGCTTGCTCCTGTCATCTACAATTCCTTTACAGGAATTCAAATCAATTTAGAAAAAGTATATGTAAATACATCTTTATAAAGACTCTATAATCATAAGTCCATATGGTTAAAACCAGACAATCTCAATTTCTCACAACCTGGCAGGGAAAAAATATCTCACATTAGTTTAGAACAAATCTGGTAGCTGACATTAAAAACAATTCTTGGCAGCATTTTTTTTTAATTTAGCACTTGAACTAATGGGATTACAAAGGGAGCTGGTAGCAATCTCTATATTTAGAAATGTCTCACACTTCATTTTAAGAAACTGTTTGATTTAATGGCTCTCATAATGTTTTCCAATGGGCTTAGTGTACATGTTAACACCATACAAAGATAAATGTTCTTGTTCTCATTTGGATTTACCAGTCATTTTGAGGTTATGCTAGTAAAAAATTCCAATTTCAGGCAAGTGTACTTAAGAGTACAAAATATTCACAACAGTTGCCAGTGGACATATCATTCCTGGAATATAATATTCATTTGGAAATAATAAATACTAACTGCTATTTAGAAAAGCTATCATTAATTTAAAGATTATTTAATATCACTTCAAAGCTAGTTCAGTTTAGATACAATGCCAAAGCATGCTTTGTGCAAAGTACTATGTAGAATTGCTTAATCTTCTAGATATGTTAACAAATATTTTTAAATAGGAAAAAGGCAGAGTAACATGTATTATCTTTGAAAATATTATTTTTTCACATAGTTAATATTTTTGTATAGATCTATAGCTGGAGGTAATCTAGTAAGAATGGTTTGTTAATACAATTAAAATAGTCATAAAATGTGAGTAACCTGATACTTAAAGGATTTTTCTATATTTGTTAGAATTATCTTCTTTGTTAACTTCTCTTATTTCTGACACTTTTAAATATTATTGATTCAAAGAAACTTATTTTAGCTTTCCAGTATTTTGATACAATAAATTTGTCAGCTAATTAAAAAAGAAAATTGATTATTTATGTCACACCATTTATAAGAGAAAAAAGAACAATAAACTCACTCTAGAATTTATTACTCAATATTGTGTTATTTTTCCAACTTTCTCTAAAATATGTAGCCAAAAATAAGAATTAAATGTACATCGGCCACAGAGATCACATCTATCAGATTAAATTACAAATTCTCCTACAAAATCTAATAACACACCAATTAATATAACACCATTTTAAAGATATAGTTCAATCTAGAAATAGTTTAGTCTTAATGACTTGCCAAAGTAGATTAAAATTTGCTTACATTATAAACTTCAGAACAAGGAGTGATTTACAAACCTCTTTTCAGTTTCTAATAAGATTGCTAATTAAAAATGTTATTTTAATACCTTTTTAGCTGTTGCCTTATTTTAAAAAATATCATCAAGCCTTTATATTAAGACTGTGTAAACAGTTGGGAAAAGCTGGCACTTGAGCCAAAAAAAATAAAAATAAAATCCATTTAACATCTTGTTTTCCATATTAACTCCTAAATAATTTTAGATTGGTGTCATTCTGCTAAAGAAAGTAGGCAAAAAATTTATTACTATTATCTTTATTCATTAAACATGAAACTCAATCAACTGAACATTCAAAAATGTATCACAAATATAATTGACTGGTGCTAATGGTTGATAGGGGGTTGCTGCCAGCATCCTAGGTATCAACCAAGTATCTTCTTAAGATGTACGATGTTCCAAGTAGTGCAGTTTTTTGCAGTTCTGCTGGTATCATTGCAGGAAGTTGCAATTTGTTGATGTATCTTATAAAATTCTTGCAAATTGTACCAAGTGCCCCAATGACAATGGGTATCACTGTTACATGTTTCATCCATAGCCGTGTAGTTTTGATGGCCAGGTCGCAATATTTCATGATTTTTTCCAGTTCTTTTTCTTCGACTTTGGCATCTCCCGGTACCGCGATGTCAATAAATTGTACGTTTCGGTTTTTGACAATTGTGATATCTGGCATGTTATTACTATTACTACTACTACTACTATTATTATTAGGATTATAAATATTTATTTATTTATTTATTTTATTTATTTATTTAATACGAGTAATGCAAACAATACAAACATATACATATACACCTAAATACCAAAAAAAGAAAAGAAATATAAATAATACAGTGCACCCTCTCCCCTGGAGACCATCCCCCCCCCTTATATTTCTTCTTCTATAACAGCTAAAAGATATACAATATATTCTAATTGTGGCCCTTATCCCCTCCAAAACAACATATATTCTTGAGTAGGTTTATTCCCTTTACCTTCCACCAACACTGATTTTATAAAATCCCCCCATATTTTATTATAATTGTTTGCTTTAATCATCCCTTTTTCAAATTTAATTTCTGTTGTTAATTTATCATTTGTTGCCATACTCCAAATTTCATTATACCATTCATTTCTTTGAATATCCCTGGCAAAAGATTTATTAAAGAGATTAGCAAAAACAAATCTTGTTTATTTCTGAAATATCGGATTCCTGGTTTGCTTATACCATATTTATCAAAAAGAAATTTATCTTTCTCCCAATTATCTGCCAGCTGATGGGAGAAACTTGTACTACATCACTTAACAATCAGGAGATTGTTGAAAACAAACAAGTAGGCAGGAGGCACAAGTAACAGCAATCTTCCCTCATTCTTTTCCCATCTTGCTAGCCCTTCCCTTTCAATCCATTCATCTCCATCTAGCTTTGCTCATTCCTTTCCTTTTCCTTCCTATTATAAGTATATTTTCTCTTATATAACCTCCATTCTATTTTTATTGTTCTTTTGGGTGGGGGAAGGAAAGGGAAGAAGGATAATAATATATGCATGGTATCCTTGGTGCTTGGATGTTTTCTTGCAGATATTTCAAACTAGATTAACTAGATTAACATTAGACCAACAATCAATAACTAAACAATATCCCAATCATGGAACAACCAGCTCCAAAGTACCACACATATATTATTAGCCTTCAGACAAACAAGCCAACAATAAATATGATCTTGGAACCTTTGAACCATATCTTTCAAAGATCCTGGAGCATTGGGAATTCTGAAGCCCCAAGGATCCTGGAGTACCAGAGGACTGGAGCTGATGTGGTTCCCATTTTCAAAAAAGAAAAAAATAAACAGATCCAGGAAACTACAGACTAATCAGTCTGACATTAATAGCTGGGAAGATCCTGGAAAAGATAATCAAGATAATCAAGCAACGGATCTAGAAGCAAGCAAAGTTATAACCAGAAGCCAACACAGGTTTGTCAAAAACAGATTGAGCCAAACAAATCTTATTTCATTTTTTGACAAAGTGAGTAAATTAGCGGACTAATGAAATGCAGTGGACATTGTATACTTGGATTTCAGTAAGGCATCTGACAAAGTAGACCACAATCTACTTCTTGGTAAGCTAAAAAAAATGTGGGATAGACAGCATCATCACCAGATGGATTTGTAACTGGCTGACAAATTGCACTCAATGTGAAGTCCTCAATGGAACTACATCTACATGGAAGGAAATTGGCAGTGGGGTACCCCAAGGTTCTGTTTCAGGTGCAGTACTCTTCAATATCTTCATAAATGATTTAGATGAAGGAATAGAAAGGGAATTCATCATATTTGCAGATGACACTAAACTGGCAGAAATAGCCAATACCCCAAGATCCAGATAGGCTCAAGATCCAGATAGGTCTCAACCAGGGGTGAAATGCTCCTGGTTCGGACCGGATCACCTGATCTGGTAGCAATGGCAGCAGGTGGTTCGGAGAACCAGTAGCAAAAATCCCTGCCCCCACCCGACATGCCCAGCTGAGCCGCGGGATCGTCAGAGGCTTTTTTTTTACTTTTAAAAGCATTTTTTCCTACAACCTCTTCAGCCAAAAAAAATGCTTTTAAAAGTAAAAAAGAAAGCCTCTGACGATCCCGCGGCTCAGCTGGGATCATCAGAGGCTTTTAAAAGCATTTTTTTCTGCAACCTCTTAAGGTTGTAGAAAAAATGCTTTTAAAAGTAAAAAAAAAAAGTTGGCTATGCCCACCCAGTCACATTACCCCCCCACCAAGCCACGCCCACAGAATCGGTAGTAACAAATTTTACATTTCATCACTGGTCTCAACAGACTTGAACACTAGGCCATATCTAACAAAATGAAGTTCAATGCAGAGAAAAATAAGATTTTACACTTGAGCAAGAAAAACCAAATGTACAGGTACAGATTAGAGGAAACCTGGCTCTACAGCAGTAATTCTGAGAGGAATCATGGAAACCTAGTGGACAATTATTTAAATACGAGCCAGCAGTATGCAGCCGCCGCCAAAAAAGTCAATGCCTTGGTTGCATTAACAGAGGAATAGAATCAAGATCACATGAAGTATTAATATCACTTTATAAAGTCTTAGTAAGACTATACTTAGAATAGTGCATCCAGTTTTGGTCACTGTTTTATAAAAAAGATGTAGAGATTCTAGAAAGAGTGCAGAAAAGAACAACAAA